GCTGTGCATCAGAACGTTTATGTCTTCAGTCTCGAGTCTTGAGTTTTCAAAGTCTTCATCTGGTCTTCAGATCCTATGTTTCCAACATCTACCGCTCTCAGGTCGCGAGACTTTGCACCTTCAGGGATTGCAGTTCCATGAAGATGATCTACTTCACTTCAGTGAAGTCAGTCTGAGCTCACTTTCCGGCAACGCGTTGCTGTGAGGAACTATGTTTTCAAATTCAAATGTTCAAAGTTCAAATGTTCAAACTTCAAACGTCAAACTGTTCCATTATCATATCGGTTTTTGAATTCATAATGACGATGAAGATAAAATCATATCAATCAAATCAAAATCAAAAATCTGTGTTTCGGTTTCTCAGTTTCACAGTTTCTTCACAACTAATTTGGACTATGCTCTGGATCTCTGGTAATTTGGTTCATTATATTTATTTACCGTTTTGTTTTGCTGATTGCTCAGTCACTCAGGTTTACCAGCACTGTGATGCTGGCCGCTGGCCATTTTCTTGGCCACCATTTTGGAACTCAATTACACATCAAGCTCCGAAGAAGAGCAGGAAAACAAATTGACATCACGTGTCTCGGCTTTGAAACGCCAAAAGGTCGTTCACTAAAACTTCAAAAAGCCGAGAGCGGAATTGAATCGACCACAAAACGTGGTTCTTTTGTGGAGTGATGTAAAGCATCAAACAACATCCACCACTATACCATACTCTGAATTTGAACAGAGCGGACAGGAAAAACATATTTGCCAAGTGGAACCCTGAGAGTCAGGAGTCATGATGCACTTTATCAGTAATTAACATGGTCCTGATGAATTTTTTACAGTCGTTTGTTCCAGTCATATGTAATCATTGCGCCATGTGAGCGCACTCAACGGCACCGATGTTGCACCATCGCACTTTTCAAAATGTACTTGTTGCACTCTTGTCGCCCCACTGTACTGATTGATCGCTACCAATGTACCCAACAAACTGCCCCTTGAAAAATCATGGTTCGTACCAATCTCGAAGTAGCCTCAAGAGCAGGGCTCTTGAATCTAGATAATTCTTAATGTTGTTTTGTTTTGTTTACTGAGCCGGTAACAGAACCTTTTGTTTTGCTTAATGGACCGGTAGCGGAATGTTTGCGTTTGGCTGCTGGGCCGGCAAAAAAAAAGTTTTTGCACGAAAAAGGTGCATGTTAAAGTGATATGAAAACAGTTTCTTTACAACTTTATGGTTTTGCTTAATGGACCGGCAAAGAACGCTTTGTTTTGCTTAATGGACCGGTACCAGAATGTTTGCGTTTGGTTCATGGCAAGGAACTGCCGGTTCCCAAAGGTTGGAACTCACGGTTGCCAACGTGGGAACCACAGGTTGCCATTGCAAGGAACTGCCGGTTCCCAGAGGTTGGAACTCCTGGTTCCCAACCTGGGAACCAGAGGTTACCATTGCAAGCAACTGCCGGTTCCCAGAGGTTGCAACTCATGCTTCCCAACCTGGGAACCATAGGTTACCATTGCAAAGAACTTCCAATTCCTA